AGGAGAGGAGAGGAGAGGAGAGGAGAGGAGAGGAGAGCCTACTCTGGGATTTTGGTCTTGAGGCCACAGGATTTTGGTCTGGAGGCCATAGGATTTTGTATGCACATAGTAAATATGCTCCCTTTCTTGATCAACCACAAGAGTTTTAGTCAATAATTGTTTCATTTATTTATACCCCCCTTTAAAAAAAAAGTCCTTCAGGGAAAAACCAAGGAGGCTTACACACTCCTTCTCTTTTCCCTTTTATTCTCATAACAATTCTGTGTGGTAGGTTAGGCTGAGAGATAGTGACTGGCTTAAAGTCACTCAGCAGGAGTAATGGCTGAGTAGGCACTAGAATCCAGATCGCCCAAATCCCTTTCTGATACTTTAACAGCTACAGCACACTGACTCTCCAGTTTGCCTGCATATCAGTAAAAGAATGCCTCTGAAAAAGAAGCATATCTTGTTTTTAGATTATGTAGACACATGTGGCAACAAGCACCATGCATGAAGAGGCATTTGCCTACACCCAAGCAAGATTGCCCTCTTCTACACTCTTCTAAGACTGCCCTTGCTGCTTAGGATTTTTCACCTATAAGAAACAGTCTTCAAAATGTGTTGCCTGATTAATTGCAGACAATTCAGTTGATGAAAAGGTTTAGAATAAATTAACCTAACTAATGAAATTGATTCACAATACAGTCCTGTGTGTGTGTACTTGGAAGGATGTACCTGGATTTTGTTCAGTCTGCATTTTTAAGTGAACTGATCTGATTTGTACTTATCAAGTTAATACATGATTAAACTTCACTTTTCAGACTTCTCTGAATTTTGCGATATAGTTCTCTGATCCAAAAGTGTATGAAAACACCTATGAAATGTGTATTTTGTGTTTAAAAGCATACAAAATGAATATTTTGGGATTAAGTATATATAATACGAAGAAACTTTTTGCCTTAAAAGTAAAGATGGATGTGGAAAATGGATGACCCTGTGGCCAACATCCCGTCCTGTGGCCAACATCCCGTTTCTGGGCAAGGTGCTGGAGCGAGTGGTGGCGGGACAACTCCAAGCACTCTTGGAGGAAACTGATTATCTGGATCCTTTTCAGTCCGGCTTCAGACCCGGGTACAGTACTGAATCTGCCTTGGTCGCCCTGTACGACGACCTGTGCAGGGAGAAGGACAGGGGGAGTACATCCCTGTTGGTTCTTCTGGACCTCTCGGCGGCTTTCGATACCATCGACCATGGTATCCTTCTGGATAGACTTGCGGGATTGGGGGTTGGAGGCACTGCTTTGCAGTGGTTCCGCTCCTATCTCGACGGTCGATTCCAGAAGGTAGTGCTGGGGGACCATGTCTCTACGTCATGGCAGCTATGCCATGGGGTACCACAGGGCTCCATTCTATCCCCTCTGCTATTTAACATCTATATGAAACCGCTGGGAGAGGTCATCAGGAGGTGTGGGCTGCGGAATCATCAATACGCTGATGATACCCAGCTTTACCTCTCATTCTCCACTAATCCAGGTGAGGCAGTGGCTGTGCTGAACCGGTGCTTGGCCGAGGTAAGGGAATGGATGAGGACCAATAAACTGAGACTCAACCCAGACAAGACGGAGGTCCTGTTGGTTGGCGGATCGGGTTTCGGAGAGGGTGGATTTGACCTGGTCCTGAATGGTGCAACACTCCCTCTTAGGGATAAGGTCCGCAGCTTAGGTGTACTCCTCGACCCGGAGCTTTCTTTGGAAGCTCAGGTGACAGCGGTAGCGAGGAACGCCTTCCTTCAGCTTCGGCTGATTAATCAGCTGCGCCCCTACCTGGAATACGACTGCCTGGCGACGGTGACACACGCGCTGGTGACTTCCCGCCTAGACTTCTGTAACGCGCTTTACGTGGGGCTTCCCCTGAAGACAGTCCGAACACTTCAATTGGTGCAAAATAGAGCTGCCAGGTTGCTGACGGGGACGGGGCGTTATGCTCACATGACTCCAGTCCTCCATCAGCTTCACTGGCTTCCCATTGAAGCCCGGGCCCAATTCAAGGTGTTGATTATGACCTACAAAGCCCTAAACGGCTTGGGTCCTGGCTACCTGAACGAGCGCTTATGTCCGTATATGCCCGACCGCCCTTTGAGATCTGCGGGAGAGTCCCTTCTCCGGGAACCCTCTATGAAAGAAATTAGGAGAGTAAGTACCCGGAGGAGGGCTTTCTCTGCGGTGGCGCCCAACCTATGGAATTCACTCCCCAAAGAGGTCCGCCTGGCACCGTCGTTACTGGTTTTTCGGCGCCAGGTAAAGACCTTTTTATTTAAACATCATTTCAATTGTTAAAACATATGATCTGGCCTGGGCAACTTCTTCTTCCTTCTCTTTCTCCTCCTATATTTTTATTTTATACTGATAATTTTAATTTTGTATTGGTAAATCAATGTATTTTTTGTATTGTTATATTTAATGGTAATTTATGATGTACTATTGTATTTCAATGTATTTTATCATGTTGTAAGCCGCCCCGAGGTTTCGGCAAGGGGCGGCATAGAAATGTTATAATAATAATAATAATAATAATGGCTTGTATTTCTGAATGAACAACCGGATAAGCTAAAATGGACTGGGAGTAAAAGGATCCATGCATCTGTACTCAGAAATAAGTCTCATTCAGTTCAATGGCACTTACTCCCAGATAAAGGGGAAAAGGATTACAGCCTGAAACTTGCAGCCCAAGTTTTTCAGCTAATTTCTTCTAAGTAAAAAAACTGTAAAACTGTCATCTTCTGAACCTTAGTTCATCTAAACCTCTGATTTATCACAGTTCATTGCATCACCTGAAGAGAGCAATGTAGCTTTACTGCTTTTGTCAGCGGAATAACAATGTTGGAAATAACCCTTAGATCATTCCGATAAATGAGAATCTACTGTACTTGTGAAAGTATTCCAAGGACATTTTTACACACGAGTCTGAAATCTAAACCTCTTGCTATTTATTTTATTATTATTCCTATTATTTTAGTGTTTATATGCTGTACTTAATCCACTAGAAATCTGCTATATTTTACACAGAAATATATATAAAATTTGTACAACAGTATATTAAAAGAATTAAAATGTCACAATAATACACCAAACTAAAAGACACAATCAATTACATTTGATACATCAGTTTTTAAATTTTAAAATTCCAAAATCCATGGGCAAAAGAAAATGTTTTACTGTTCCTCTGAAAATAAAACAAAATCAATGTCCTTTTTATCTCCTTTGGGAAGGTATTCCAAAGTTGGGGCATCCAAAAAAGAAATTCCTCTCTTTTGTAAATACATAGAGCTCTAGTGGTACTTGAACATCTTAAGCAAGGAAAATAGAGGATGGGAGGACACAAGTATCTGGACTGCAAGCACTTTGACTTTTTAAGTGCAATCCAATTAATGTCCTACAAAGCCAACATACTTCCAGCCAGCTGGGTAGGCCATACTAGAAATGGAAGGGTGGAGAGTGGTTTCTGTCCAAATACATATATAGGACTGCACCCTTAAAAGTAAGAACCTGCACCTTGAATTGGGCTTGGTAGCACATGGGGGATCAGCATAACACCATAAGAATTGGTAAAATATGGCTCCATCAAGATGAACCAGTAAAATCCTAGCTGCTACAGTTTTGCCTAAGCTGAAGTGTCTGAAACTTTTCAAGGGCAGCCCCACATGTGATGGATTACAGTACTGCAACATGGGTGTTACCAGAACATGTGGCAAGGCTACCCCTATCCAGGAAAGGCTACACCTGGCAAACTAGTCAAGATGGTGAAAGGCACTCCAGTCTACCAAGGCCATTTGGGTCTCTAGTGGTCTAGAAGTGCTCCTAACTCTAGAGGGAGTGCAACCCTTTCCCAGAGAGGCTGATCACCAGCTCCTGCAAATCGCTATCCCTCAGTGCTTCCATCATGCCAGGATTCCTAGGTGTTGTTCAGGCTTTAGGGAAAGCAGAGGAGAGGCATTTGTTGTGTGAATTAACATTCTGGCTAATGCAGGTTTTTCATGCACATTTCCAACCTGACAAAGGCAGAAGTTGCTTAAATTCTCATGTGTAAAAATGCCCTTCATATCAGCACATAAGCAGGAGTGTGTGGATTTGCTCTTACACCAGGGATGTAGCACCCCAGGTGCCAAATTCAGCTTGCCCCGCTCTGGAATGAGAACTCTTGGGACCACCTCCAAAATAGAATTTAGGTCTCAGACTGAAAGAGGTTCAACACCCCTGCCTTAAGCCATAAGAGTTGTTATTTTTATCTAATCTGCAACTGTCTAAAGCAAACCAAGCTTTCACCAGACAATTATTTTGAGTACCAGGCCATTTTATTACATATTAATAAAAAGGTACACAGGACAAAGATAATCCAACCCAAGAAAATTGATGACAGGTTCCTTTTTTTGTTTCTTTTCCCTTTTACTGAGCTGCCAATTTTTAAGACTACAGGGTTCCTTAGGATTAATAGACTACAGGATCCCCATTATATATCAAATCTTTCCCTTCTTTCTTTCTTTTCCATACAATAATTTCAGCAGAGTATAATTTAGGAACAAAATAGAGGGCCACAAATCACGCTGCACTGATAATGTGACCTGAACTGAGAGCTCTTCTCAGCAATGCCTTTACTCAGCACAGATTGGAAATTATATTTAGAGTCTGCAGGATTTTCAGTCAACCCATGATTAAAATGCCATGCAGCTCCAGGCCTCAAGAAGCCTGTAAAATACAAGAATATTTCCAAGTATCGGCCATTGTTCATCTGCATATCCTTGAACCATTGGCTGCCAATGATGGAAGTTGGGGTCCAACGCATCAGGAGAACATCAGGTTGAAAAAGACTGTTCTATAATAATGTGCCACATCTCTGTTGGTCTGATCATTCCCTGATCTTCCTGAACCACTTTGCTCATGTGGGCAGAAGAGAGAGCATCAGAAAAGTGAGATGGGGAACAGGAAACCTCTACAGTGTCTCCTAGAAAAATATCCAAAATATATCTTCCCTCTAGGCAAAAATGACACTATTTCTCTGTGCTCTAGAGAAGCATTAGTACCACGGAGAAACTAGCATCCATTGCTCCAATCCTCGTACTCATCGCCTATCTATTTGCATGCCTAACAACCAACACGCCACAAGCTACGCAATGGGGGAAAGAACACTACGCCTGACATGGCAACAGCTAAATAGGTCTGAAGGGAAATTGGAGGAAGTTTAGGAGTGGCACCCTGTGCCTATGATGCAACTTCAAATGTGGGCACACAGGGCACACAGTGGGCACAGAAAATGCCCCTGGGGCTGGAAGGAGGAGCAAGAAGGAACCAAGGGAAAGAAAGGCAAGGAAAGGTCAGCCAGGAAGGAAACCTGGGCCTGACATTCACCTGCCAATGTAACTACAGCTCAGGTACATCTCTAGAACATATACTTGTTCTCATCTCAGTGTCTTCTAGATCTTTTGGACTGTAACTCCCAGCATTTCTGACCATTGGCCAAACTGGCTGGGGCTGATGCAACTGAAGTCCAAACCTCCTGGACAGGAGCGCAGGTGGCAGGCTGGGGAAGCCTGGTCTCCCCAAGTAGTCACGGCTCTGCAGGGTCTCAGGCCTTTCACACCACCTACTGCCTGATCCTTTTAACTGGAGATGATACCAGGAGTTGATCTGGGACGCTCTGCACATGGGGTGCAGAGGAGTGGCACTGAGCTATGCCAGTAGGATGCAGAGGCGTGGCACTGACCCACTGCACATGGGGTGGCACTGAGCTATGCCATGCATTAGGCCAGCCTTCCCCAACTCAGCACTCTCAGTTTACTTTGAATTCCAGTCAGACCCAGCCAGTTTGGCCAAAGGTTAGTGATGTTGGGAGCTGCAGGCCAAAAGCATCTGCAAAACACCAGACTGGACAAGTTTGTGTTAGCTGCAAGTAACAGGTGCTTGGATGGTCTGTTGACTGCAATAAAGACTGAATGGAAAGTAAAGTAGCAGATGCTGAAAGCAAACAGCTGAGAGTGGCTATTGTTGTTGGGCTGAGGTTGTAAACTCACAAAGACAACCAGATGGAACATTTATGGAAGCAACGCACTGAACTCAATGGGGCTGGGCCTGACAGGGCACAGCAGCTCTTACATTCTTAGACTGAACAGCTGGGTGCAGCTGAAAGAAGGCACCCATAAGTGCCTGGCACAGAAGCAATGCCAGAGCCATCAATCAGCTGGCCTCATGGCGCCACTTGCAAAGCCCAAGCTCAGGCCTGCGCCTGGTACCTTCGCTATTGAGGCTGGCCTTGTTTGATCTATGGAAGGGATTTGGGAGTGCAGAACCTCAGATCTGGGGTCCAAATCCAGCCCTCTGTGATTCATGATCATGTTCTCTTCCTTGGTCCACCCCCTTTCTCCCAATAACAAATTGTTTGACAGTTTCTTGGTTTTTCCATGTTCTTTTCCCCCACTCCAAAAAGTTAAAATGCCTCTTCTAAGACTTGGTTATTGGCAGTAAGAGTTTTAAGCTAAAACATGCAGGTATATTTGGGCCACACGTCTTTTTGTCTTTGATCCCCTCTCTTCACTAGGTGCTCATTCTGATAAGCCTACAAGTTGGTCCTTTTCTGATCTAGAAAAGGCTTTGCAAGAAGTGTTTTAATGAGGGATTGGAGGGAGGGAAGTTAGTTACACAAGGAGAGAAGAGACTGTTCCAAGCATTGGGAATTGCACATTAAGAAGCACGATGCTAAAAATGGGAAGATGGCAGTAGAGGAGAAAGGATGTGCTTAGCAACACCTCCAACTCTTCTCTACCTAAAGGTTCAAATCTCCATTGACGTAAGATGGATAATGTGAAAGGAAGTGATACCCAATCACAATCTCAGGAAGCTGGTGACCAGAGGCAGGGCTTTCTCTGTTGTGGCACCCTACTTTTAGAACTCCCTACTCAGAATGGGTTGCCTGGCATTTCCTTCATGGTTCAATAATATTTTATGGCATTTTACTGGGTTTTTTTTCTTTTCATTTTTCCAAACCATTGTAAATTGCCCAGAGTGCTTCAGCTATTGGACAGCATATAAACTAAATAAATTATTTTATTTTCTGCACCTGATGAAAAATTTCTATTGCTTCAGGTCTTTTAGTCTTGTGTTTTTTTTATTAAAACTCTTTTTATGCTGAATGTTGAGCTACCTGCTGTGATCTGAATGCTAAGTTTTTCTATTTTATATTATTATTATTATTCCTTTGTGGTTTTATTGTAAGCTGCTCCAAGAACAATGGATGAAAAGAGGCCCATAAATCATTAAAATATATAAATCAGTAGATGAAGCAGATTCCAGTTTAACAAAGGACAACAAAAAAGCAGCTTTTACACAACTGAATTCAGTCTAGATGTTAGGTGTGACTGCCTTGGCAATCGCCATACCCAGGGAAAATTTCATATCCACCCCTTCATTGTACCATAAAAATGGTGGCTGTCATGTAAACAGCCATAAAAAAAAAAAAAACCTAGCAGTGATATCATTACCTGATTTTACTTGTACCTTTCTTTGCTTGGGTGCCCTCAACCTACTCTAGAGTAAGGCAGAAACCAAAAGACATAGCTGCTTGATAAAGATTTAGAGTAATGTCTCTTTTGGCCCACGGACAGTGAGTTTGTTAAACCCCATAAGAGGCAAGTGCAATGATCATATGAGATATTCTGCTGAACTATGGCTCTAGGTTTACCCAAAGTTAAACAGCCTGTCTCATAACCTTTCCTGGAAGGTGGCATCATGAGACAGCAATTTGTGCACTCAGAATAGCTGCTGTTGCAGAAATGGCTTGATTGAATTCTAGGTGAACAAAAGACACATGAAATACTCTTGAAATACTCTTCAAAGATCCCCAGAATCTATCCTATCCAGTTCTCTTTCCTAATAAATAATCAGCAAAAAAAGACTTAACAATGACCCAATCTTACCGCAAGGAAGTCAGTAAGTTCACTGGTAAGAAGCAGTTTGAGTTCTCCTTTATTGAGTTTATATTTATCCCCTTCTTTTGCTGAGTAATGGTGAAAGACCCTGATTAATGTATCCATCGCACCCTCCAGCTGCGTCGGCATACTGCAAAGGGATAAAGAGCAAAGACTTATGGCAACCTCAAATGAAGCGCAATGATTTCCTGGTATGCAAAGAAATAAACACAGCTGCCCAGAAAGGCAATAGATAGGACCCAAACTTCTCTGGTGCTGAATAATGTCATCTGACCAGGTGCACAAAAATGTCACATTTACAGTGCTAATTTAGGACAGCACTTTTTATAGCTAAATCCGGGAAGATAATTTCTCTCGCTGGGTGCTCTATTCTATGGTGGACATAAGGTAGATCAGGATTTACTGGCTGTAGACTGACAAGGGATTCTGAGTTCCAGCTTTGTAACATCAGCAGCAACAACAAACATATTTCTTTCTGGCTGCTGAAACAAAGAAAAGTTGGGGGGGGTGCAGTCAATATGGGATTGGATCCAGAACCTCCAGAAAGGGGCCGCCATGAGAGGAAATTTTATGCTCATGGAAGGTCCCTCCTCCCAATTGCTGGGGGTCTGATTCCTCCTGTAGCATTTTCAAAGGCCTGGAGGGGCTGCTATGGAACGAAGTGGACAGGAAAGTGCACTTCCACCAGCACTGTCCAGCTTAAATCCAGACTATATTTTTGAGTGAAAGGGCTGAGAGCTCCATTCTGCTAATGGAAAAGAACTTCCAGGCTTCAGCATATGTGCTTACCCTTTACTCTTTTAAAATTCTCTGTATTTGTCTGCCCGCCCTGAACTATACAGCCACCTACGGGGTGATCTCAAGGATCCAGTAAAAGCTCCAAACAGATCCCACACAAGGCTGAAGTCTGCCTAGTCCTGCTATATTCTGTACTGAGCAGCGATGTTTTCTTGACAGGGTGAAGGAAAGAAAGGCATACAGCAAGAACATTTGAATGCAACATCCAGGCAGTCTCCCCTACCTGTTCCAGTGAAAGCAGTTCCAAATAAAGTATTCTCTCCCGCAGCAAGGACAGACTGTATTCAACTTTATTCTGAGTATTCCACCCTATTAGTTTCTAGAAGGAAATCACCAATGAACGATGTCCTAATGCCTGGCTTCTTTCACATTATTTGTGACTGCTTGTTATTGGTCAGCAGGTGTAGGTGTCTTTCCCCAGGTGACCTTCCTGAGGCCAGCTGTCTTCCCTGAGCATTCAGTAAGGAGCTACGAGCAGAAAAGTGACTGCTTCATTAAAACAAGGAGGATGGAAATCCAATTAGTTGCCAGGAGGAAGCCAACCACTGGGAATATAGGTACCACAAATACAGAACAAGAGGGTTGAACACCTTGCCCTTATTATTTATATGGCTCACACTTTCCCCAAGCATCCCTGGCCAAGGGATGTGGCTCACTTCCCTATTTTATCTTTACAACACCAAGACATAGTGGCTGGGTCAAGGTTCCCAGTGAGCTTCAAGGCTTGGTGAGGATTTAAACCTGTGTCCTCCTCTAACACACTCACTGCTAGACCAGGGAGGTGGAATGCTGCTGAACTACAGTTCCCATCATCCCTCACCAGTAGCTAGGCTGCTTGGGCTGATGGGGGGCGAGCAGTGAGGAATAACTGGCGAGCATCTCCCAGCATGCCTGAATGGGAGATGCTGGGAACTGTAGACTTTTTTCTGTATACACATGCACAGCTTTGCACCCTAAATGCAATACTGTGATCACTGACTCTGCCACACTTGAGGATGAAGCAGAGCCTTCGAATACACTCCCAGGTGTACAGGTGCTCAGTGGAAAAGAGTAACACTGAAAGCTCTCCCGCTACCTGAAATGATTGCAGGAAAATGTGCACAGAAACCTAGTTGGAAAGCAGTGCACCGGGCAGGCTGCCGCCAACTTTTTGCTTCCCAGGGGAGCAATCACTAGAAGTGGCATTCCTAAGGTGTCCACTTGTCGGAGCCTACAGAGACAGTCCTCTATTTGCAGGGCTGTCAGTGGGCAGTTTGGGGCCAGCAGGCACACAGGTCCCAACCTCCACACTAGGACCGCATGGGGACCCCTTTCTCATATACAAGGAAGTTCTGGATCCAGCCCCATATTGACTGCCCCAGCCCCAGCCCCAGCCCCAGCCCTGCAACTGTTCTTTGTTTCAGCAGCCAGAGAGAAATGTTTTTGTTGTTGCTGACATTACACAGTTGGGACTCCCCAGTCCCACTAGAACATGCAGCATTTCTATTTAAATTACAGCCATTATCTCTACATGTGTATCTCTCAATATAAAGTAGCATATGCAGATTTGCAAACATGTGTCCTCTTTCATTGGTGGAATGAAGTGCTCACCATTGGTATTTCTCCTAACTGGAACTTAGGGTTATGATTTGGAAAGCACAAATCCGGAAGATCTTGATGGGGTTGCTAGAAAAATTATCTTTTCTACCTGTGCATCATTTTCAGGTGTGTCTTGAGCTGCTTCACACGTGATCTATGAAATGGCTTTGGAATTGTGATTACTGCATACCTGTCGCTACACTTCTCTCCAGTCAGTGCCTTGTGTTGGCTCCCAGGACTGGCTTCCGGTTTAGGGCAAGATACCCTCAGTGGGCCTGCTTTCTCAGAGAGCCCACCTTCTCACCACCATTGTCAACAACTCTTCTTGGTCCTTCTGCTCCTTCTCATCATTGATGCCACTTGCTGGCTTGACAGGCAGAAGCAGTGGCATCTGCTGTGTCTTCTTCTCAGAGCAAGGGGCAGGTGAAAATGCAGGCTGCATAGATGAAGAGGAGGAGGAATTCCAGGGGCTTTTTGGTTGTGGGCCCCTGCTGAAGAATGAGCCAGTATGCCTACCCTTGATGCCCCCTGTCCCCACAAATAATTGCAGTTGAAGCTGCAGTAGGGATGAGGAAATTTACCCAGAACAGAAAGCTGAAGTGCAAATGTTAGAAGAATGCAGTTTCCCAATGCACACCTAAGAGCTTGGCTCTGCTTGCAGCAGCAGGATTAAAATGGAGAACACACGGTTTGCTTTCTGTTCAGCTACTTCATGAGGACTGCCTACTTCTAGTGGGGTTGGGGGACCCTCATTAGGAAAGGCAGGACAGAATGCTGAAACACTTACATGTAAGAGTGTGAAATAAGAGGCTTATAATGTTGGCTTACAAAGTTTGTAGGTAAATACATTTGCCGCTGGAAATTTTGTTTGGTGTGTGGCTCCCCCTTGTGGTAAAGTTGTTGACTGACTTCCTCAAATTTAACTGGTGCTACTTTGAATGTATATAAAGCTTTCTTGCCGAAGGAAAACACACAGAGGTGAAATCACTCTAGTTAAAACTTAGAAATCACCATCTAAGTCCTCTAAGCTGCAGGACAGCAAAATCAACAGAGACTCATGGGGCATATGCACCTTGTTGTCTTTGCTCATCTCTATCTCAGTAATTAAATTGGGACAAAGCTGGGAGAACCACTAGCTGGGCTTACTAGCTGCTTCCCAAGCAAAAGAGCTCCTGAAACTCAGCAGGACCAAGGGAACCCATTGTGGTTCATCACCTAGCCTGGAGGGACAGGAAAACACAACTTAGTTCCTCCCCTGCCAGCCTAATCCTATGCTGATAGTTTTGCATGCAAGTAGCAAGGGAAGTCCCTCTCACAGGGGCAGGATTACTGTATTTTTCCGACTATAAGATGCCCCCATGTATAGGACCGCCCCCACTTTTCTTACCGATCTCTGAGCGAGCAAGCTGCTGGGCTTGCGTGCCCGCTGTCTCCTCGCACACACGTACCTGCACCAGTATGCCCCACCAATCGCACCCACGCCCACCAATTGTGCCTGCGCCCACCTCCCCCTGAGCGCGCCTGCGCCCGTGCCAGTCTCCCCCACAATAGCACCCACAATCGCGCCAGTCTCCCCCCATTCCAGCGTGCTCACGGTTATCCTCTCAGCCCCCGCCCCGCCCCATGTATAAGGCAGCCCTCCATTTTTAGGTAAATATTTCTAAGAAAAAGTATCATCTTATACATGGAAAAATAGGGTACTTTCCATGCAGAGGCTGCCAGGGTCATTCAACCTTTCCAGTCAAATGCTCAGCTAACAGGTGATGAGAACAGCTCTAAAATCCCAGAGAGCTGCTGCTTGTCAGTGCACCCCTGGGCTAAGCAACCTGGTGCCCTCCAAATACATTGGGGTGTAATTCCCACATGTTGCAGCCAGCATGGCCCATGGTCAGAAACTGTTGAAGTTGTGATGCACCCTGGCCATGGAACAGGCAGTCCAATGCAGAATAAGGCAGGTTCCTAGAACGGTGCCACAAGTACCAGACTGTGGTCACAGGTCCAGAGCCCTGTAGTTCAGACAGACACCAAAAGGGCCCCCTGATGGTGGCAGCAGCTGCTCAGCCATGGCAGGGCCACCTCCTCCTCCTCCTCCAGCCCTGCCTGCAATAGGGAATGCGGCATCAGTCGGCGAGGCAAGAGGGCACCCCTCTAGCATGCCATTCCGGATGAACAGGACTTCCCCCTCCTTCGTGTTTGTGCAGCAGTGGTGTGAACCTGTCACGCTGCCTTTGGGGGCACATGGCTAATGACAGCACAGGAGCGATGGAAAGATCTTTGCTGCTCCTCTGCCCTCATTGGCCATGTTTCCCCTAAGGTGGCATCTGATTGGCTCAGATCACTGCTACTGAACCATTCAGATGAAAAATATGTTACACTAAAATGGCCTGCCTCAGATCTTCCCTTTGTCAGCACAGCTTGGCCAGCAGGAAGGGGAACCATCACTACTGCCAGGTTGAAGAAGGAAGCAAAAGGAGGGCTGGCTAGCAGGGAACCATGGAAGATAATTTATTTATGTCATCACTGCCCTGAGACACTGTAAAGGGCGGGATACAACAATTTTAAATGAATAAAATAAATAGGAGCAACCTGCCCAGGATCTCATCAAAGCCAGCAACAGCTTTGCATGCCTGTGGTCCTGCTGATGACGCAAAACCAAGATGGTGAACTGGTTCACACGATCAGCAGCACCTGCCATGAATTAAATGAGCAAAAGTTAGCTGCACTAGCCAAGGTAGGTTGTGTGCCAGCCATCA